GACTCGTTGCTCCGATCGACTTTCCACACGAGTACTTTTATTCATAAAATTGTCCAAGTAACCTTATTTTGTTGAAAAATATTGAAAAATATCTGTCATTTCAAAGTTTTGGGGTGTGGACCATCGGGGGTAGTCCGTTCCTGACTTTGTAGCAAAACAACTGACTCCTGCATGAAAGCTCATCGACGAAATTCATATTTTGACCCCATCTATACATTCCCAAGAAGAAAAGAGGAAGTCCCGGGACACCCTGTATAGAGACGCAATAGGAATTCAGAAACACAGCGATAATTTCAACAGAAAGGAAGAGGCAATCAACATCGATAAAATCTGGTAACCTGTCCATCATTGAAAGAAACGAATCCACGCCCATCAATGATGATATAAAATCGAAGAAAATTCCAACTTTCTATTTCTTGTCCTGAGAACAACTCGAGTTCTTTGACAGTTACCTCATCGCCTTTTATTTTTATAATGTCTATCGCAGAGTAGATGTCAACATTCGTTTTCGTAGTTCCGGTATTTTTTCAGTTCAAAAAATTTAATATCGCATTAATTTCGTTCCTACTGTTTTCAGCGAAAAAATGGAAACAACACAGGAAAGTTCTTGCTCCTTCTTTCAATCAAAAAGTACTGGACTCTTTTGTTGAAATTTTTGCAAAGCATAGTATAACATTCGTTGAAAAACTGAAGGATGTGGTTGGACAGAAAAATATTGATCTCTACCCACTAGCGTCTCGATGCACTTTGGGAAACATATGTCGTAAGTAGACTTCGTTTTTATAAACTGAGAGTGCTTTATTGTTATCTTTAGTATTGTTGTGAATAATCCCTTAAAAAAAACACCGGCCGCCGCTGGTCGTCATAAATCAATTGTGACGTGCTCAACTGGACGTGCGCTACCGGCTGTTCTAGATGTTGCCATACATAAACGCTACCCACTAGCATATCGATATAGTGAAGTTTCGCGGACAGTGCAGTACACAGCGATTCAGCAAGGCGATAGAATTTTGAATAAAAGTTGAAGTTTCAGTGTTAGATTGTATCAACAGTGAAATAAAGTAAATTTTAATTATTGTACAGTGTAGTTAATTTTTGGTGAACCCGAATGGAAAGCGTAACAGTATTACTGAGCTCAGATACAAGACATTTCCAAAAATCCTAGTTACGTTGGGTTATGGTCATCTTCCTCGGCTTTTCAGATGAACCAAACTCGGTGAGATTTTGATCCAATAACTTGAACATTGTTCGACGTGGTTGTCGTCTTTCAGGATACAAGTTCAAATACATTTCCGATGTCTTAACACTGTTTTTATCGTATTTGTAATAAATTTGTATCATTTCTCTTTTTTCTGCATTCGTGAAAGACATTTTTCACCAAAAATTTAACGACTTGTACAATAACAAAATGTCATTGAGTGTAAACAATTGAAAGTCAAATTTAGAAACATCAAAGTCAAAGCCTATTATGATGAGAATTAATGTTTTTCAATATCTCCAATTCTTCGAAAAAAAAAAGGATAACTCATGATACATAATTGAAAAGGTAAAATCTGGTTCTATTCAAAACAGAAAGAATCCAATGTAGCGCCATAGTGTCATTGTTAAATAATTGGTGTTATCTTTTGCACTGTTCTCCCTGAGATGATATTAGAGACTGAGTTGACACCGCTTCTCCCCCACGAAGCCACTGCTTGGTCCATTGCGATATTTCCTTCTTCTCTCTTGTAAAACCCCCAAACTCATATAGTACAACAATAGTAGCTGCTATCTTCGAAGAACTCACACCAACTGCTAGAAATAAATTGTGAGATGGCGAACCGTTGTTCACATTCCCCTTCACTGTGTGTAGGGAATGACGAACCAAAACCTTGGGTCGGCGAAACAAGTTCAGTGAAATAAGTTCCCATGTGTGTAGGTCGCTTTATGAAAGACCAAGTTCATGAGAAACTGTGACGATCTTGGTTCGTTAAACACCACACACGGGGGAACAAATGACGAACATGGATCGTGCGAACCAAGTTCGGCGAACCAGGTTCCCATGTGTGTAGGAAGTGTTATCATTTATTCCAGTATTATTTTTGAAAAGTCGAATATTCACGAAGAGTCGCTCGCAATTAACGTTTCCTAATTAACTGAAGGAATCCCGATTGTTTTTTGCTATGTTCATGATAACATTGTTCTCAATATCGTATATGTCCTTACTTAAGGTGAACGTAACAAACCTATGAACAATGAAGTCTAGTCATACCTATTTGTTTTTTGGGCAATGAGCTATCAGGAATATACCTGAAAGAACTGATATTCTTCATATATCAACCAAATTCTAGATCCTGGTTACTTCAAAGACCATAAACAAATGAACACTGTTGAGCTTGGTTCATGATACTAGACTTTTAGTTGCTTTCGAAAATTTGAGCATCAGAACTATGAAAAGTGACAAAAATTCTATCACAAACAACTCATTTTTTAAATAAACGAAAAATCTCACCACTTTTGTACCAATATGTACCTAAGAAGTGAGAAATCATTGATATGTCCGAAAAATAAATTTCAGTCAGATATGAATAGACTGTTGTTTTATATTCTTCTTGAAAAAAAATTGCTAAAGAAACATCACTTCCATTAATTTATTATTATTATTATTATCTGGAGCATTTGTATCTGATTTTCCTCCTCATGAATCAATAAAATATTCGAAATATCAGCGACGATTTTTTTTCAGAAACTGCAATGGGTGTTAATATCAATGTTCAAAAAGAAGGAAGAGAATTTGGAGTACTACTGGAGCGGTAAGCAACTTGTTTTTGTTTTTCTCCATTATAGAATGAAAAATGAAAGAAACAAATTTAATTGTATCGAAATTTCGCACTCACTTTCTTGGACGCAAGAAAACACAAAATCTTGAGCAACCTGTACAGTAAACATTTCTTTTCTGTATATATTAAAGAAAGGTCTTATTTTAGTTCTGAAAATGAGAGACAGCATCTCAATAATACTTCAATAATATCTTTCTTCTGGGCAACCTGTACAGTAAACAGTTTTTTTTCTGTATATATTAAAGAAAGGTCTTATTTTCGTTCTGAAAATGAGAGACAGCATCTCAATAATATTTCAATAATATCTTTTTTCTGGGCAACCTGTACAGTAAACATTTTTTTTTTCTGTATATATTAAAGAAAGGTCTTATTTTCGTTCTGAAAATGAGAGACAGCATCTCAATAATATTTCAATAATATCTTTTTTCTGGGCAACCTGTACAGTAAACATTTTTTTTTTCTGTATATATTAAAGAAAGGTCTTATTTTCGTTCTGAAAATGAGAGACAGCATCTCAATAATATTTCAATAATATCTTTTTTCTGGGCAACCTGTACAGTAAACATTTTTTTTTTCTGTATATATTAAAGAAAGGTCTTATTTTCGTTCTGAAAATGAGAGACAGCATCTCAATAATATTTCAATAATATCTTTTTTCTGGGCAACCTGTACAGTAAACA